CCCCCCCCAACGGGGCCGCGAAGGGCGCCCGAGTCGAAGGCGCGGAGCCACCCAAGGCGCGGGTGGGCGCGGGCTGCGCGGCGACGAGGTGGTGGACGCGATCCGACGCGCGGGCGTGGTTTTGCTGCCGGTCCACCTCGACGTCGCACGCCGCCAGGCGCGGCTGGTGGCGGCGCACGCCGCCCTCGACGCCAAGTACCGAGAGGACAAGAAGACGTCGGTACTATTTCTTCGACAAGACTGGCCGGGCCTACCGCATCTACAACCCGAGAGGGCTGCACCCGGCGCATACATACCTTCCGCTTACCGAATGGAGCTCGCGCAGCAATCTTCTACAACACGCTCAGCGCCGATACTCCGCGACGATTCACCATTCGGCCTGGAGGGAGATGCATGCGGCGGCGGGCCGCGCAGGGAGGAGGGAGCAGGTGCGGTTTGTCTCGGCGAGCCAGTTCGGCGCGGGCGCGTTTTTGAACGCGATCCCGACCCGCGCGCACTTCCGTCTGCCCTCGTACGTGCTGCGCTTCGCGCTGCAGCGCCGCTTCGGATTACACCTGTCGATGATGACGGACGTCATGGCGGACGGCATCTACAGCCAGCACGGTCTGCCCTTTGACGCCCTTGGCGACGTGGCGCAGAACGACGGCGCGGCGGGCCACCAGACGCGGCACAAGGAGGTCCTCCTGGACCTTGTCGAGCTGCTGCGGGGCAAGCTGGGGCGCGGCGCGGTGGAGCACGAGTTTCACTGCGAGCACAGCACTACGACGGGGAAAGCGGTTGGGGGAGGGAATGTTGATTTGCACAAACGGGAATCCTGAATCTTTTTTAGTCAGCTACCTTATGGCGCATCCTGGGCGCTGGGGCCGCGCTCTCCCCACTCCCGGTCTCCCGTCCATCCCCAGACCCCACCATCCCGTCGGCGTCGCGCGGGCCTGCGTAGACCGTAGTGTTAGCTGAGTTACCAGCGAGCGAGCGGAGAGGCCGGCGCGCAACGTACAAAGTTATCGCGCGGCGTCGCGCTGCCATGCCGCGACAGCCGACCCTCCCCCGCGCCCTGGGGGCTGGCGGGCGACCGGGGGTGGGGAGAGCGCGGCCCCGGCGGCCCGGCTGCGCCCTGGGGCCGCTGCCTCCTGTTGCTTCTGGATTCGCGTTT